GAGACTCAGTTCCCAACTGTGGTTAGTTCTATAGTGTCTCCATTATCCTGGTTTGTGACATTCTGTTCTATACCCATAATTGCCACGATTTTGTTAGACTCAGGTCTACACTGAAAGGATTCAATGCTCAGTGATGATCTTTTGTGCCACCTATCCATTCCTTTACTGGCTAGCTGGTGTCCAGTCTGTTGTACATCCTTCTACAAGAGCTCTAGAAAAGTGTATTCTCAGAAGCTTTGCTCAAGCTTTGCTCAAGCTTTGCTCAAATGCTCAAAGACATTTGACTGTTGCTTTCGTTTTTCAGCAATAGTTTGCATATAAAATTAATGGATCACACTTAGTTTTTCCCAAACTCTTACACATGGGCTTCTTCAGTCTTCCCTGGAGAAATCAGAAGCTGGCTTTTTTCTGCCCTTTTAAGTGATAGGATTTTGTACCGGGCTGTCCAGTAACTTCAATAGGTTGTGTCTTAATATTGAAGAGTCTGATTCAATTCCCCCAGGGAAATGGTGTGCCCTTCTAATCCATAGATTTGACACTCTTTCTTTCAGAAAGGTTTTACAAAATCTAGGTATTTTTTTTCTATCTCTACTCAGATCCCTTAAGTGACACCATTTATATATATGCTGTGTAGCCTTTGCTATGGTCTGCATTTTACTGTTGAACCCCCTCGAACTTTTCTTCATTTCCCTCAGGACCTTCACAGCCCTTTGCTCAGTACTATCTTCATCCTTGGGTTTCATTGTTTTATTTTTCTCTTCCCCTTTTCTTTTGAGTTTCACCACCTCCCTTTTCATTTCTGTGCAGATACATTTTGGCAGGGTGGGTACTTAGCTTGTCTTCCTTTTCCTAGTGTGTCCAAACTCCTGAAAGGTGGGGAGTCCTTCCTGGAAAACCAGTCGCAGGACAACTGAGGGGAAGTCTAGGCCACTGCTCAGGGTTTTGCGGGATGACAGCGGTCTGGCCTTCCCTGCTTCCAGCACAGACTCTGCGGGCCCCGGCCCTGCTGCAGGCTTGCACCGATGGCTGGGCCTGTCTACACTGCTGCGTGTTCACCCTGGACACTTTGCGGTATCTGCTTCCTCCCCACGCCTGTCCCAAGCAAGGGGGAGCTTGTTTTCTTCTCAATGCTCCATCAGGTTGGCCACGGGGGCCATGCTCTCCTTTCTCTTGGCCTTTGCTCACCCTAGGCTGCTGGACACTTGGCACCCTTTTCATATGTATTTGTTTGGGGTTGTAAGGTTTCCTCGGAGATGGAGTATTGCCCCTCTATGTGCCTTTACTTCACTGTTCTCAGGTAGCTTCAGAAAGAAGGGTCACCTTACAGACAGGTGTAAGTCTTGAAAGCAGATTTGTCAAGACCCCTGCTTTTTCTGAAGAAAGAAAAGGTATTGCACATTTTCCTGAGAACCGGCTATCCTTGGAGTCATCTTGAAGCATATTCCTCACAGAGCCGGAGAGCCCGAGTATGGATGGTGGGGTTGACGCTGCCCCTGGCCCGGTGTCAGCATCAGGGGCGTCTCTCGCATCTTCCTGTGATAACATCTGACCTTCCTGTGGAGAGGTCTCTGGATATGCAGGATGCATTTACTCTCGCTTACGAGGAGGTTGATAACAGTTGAGAATTCTTTATGATGACGGTCAAGGCAGAGGGCTCCCGTTGGATTTAAAAATTTGTTCTCAACCCTCTAAAAACTTTGAAATGTGTAGCTGCTGCTAACACACGAGCAAACATGGAGAGATGAGACGATTCTACTTTATAGCATATCTCGACTTTCCTCCAGTATCTGGAAGTTGAAAAGGGAGAGAAATGGGGGTCTGATTTCCTGATTTTGTTTAAAAGGAAAATAGGCCTGGAGCGCCTGGGTGGCTCAGTTGGTTAAGCATCCAGCTCTTGATTTCGGATCAGGTCACGATCTCACAGTTTGTGTGTCTGAGCCCTGCATCAGGCTCCACACTAACAGCATGGAGCCTGCTCGGGTTTCTCTCTCCCCCTCTCTTTCTTCCCCTCCCCTGCTTGCATGCTCATGCTCGCTCGCGCTCTCTCTCTCTCTCAAAATAAATAAACATTAAAATATTTTTAAAAATAAAATTCTAAAAATGACATGAGAATAGGTCTATGGGACCTATTGTTTACATTAGTAAACAATTAGTAAACCTAATGTTTACTGAGTGTGTACAACCTGGCCTGGAGTCCTTTCTCCACTCCATTCTGATGATGCTTCATGGCCAGACTGGACTTTTCTGGAAAACCTAGGCTCAGGCAAAGGCAGCATGAAGAGCAATGCCTAAAAGGCAGCATGGGAATTCTACCCCTCGCTCCACGGTCCCAGCCTGTGCAGCTAATGCCTCCCCCCAACTGTTAGAGATATTCCGATACCTTAAAAAGGGAGGCTGCTTTCATCTTGCACTGACTTCACTGTTGCCCTGTGCCAGTTTGGCCCTGGTAACAAGTGGGCATCTCACCTAGACAGCATCTGTGAGCGGGACCGATTTCAGAGCGGACTGCAGCCTCGCGGACCCCAGGGTTTGATCAACATTTCAATCAGCGTTTCCACTGTTGGGGCTTTGGTCACTATGGCGACCAACCAATTTATCCTCTAAACCAGGACCTGAGAGTTGCGATTAATAATTAAGGCCATGAATGTAAATTGCGAATGTCCCAAACAAACCAGGATGAATGGCCAATCCAATTATGTCCTAAGTTTCCATGATAGAGCCAAATGCATTACGATGCATTAGAACATGGATCTCACTTTTTCTCCAGCACTGCCGTAAAAACCCGACGTTATCTTTATTACCAAGACCAGATACTCATTCATTCTTCGCAGCAAAACTAGTCTCACTTAGGAATGAAGGCTTTAAACCTCAGAGCCTTTCCGTTTTATAGGTGCGTGCATTCACTTGTACGTCACACACTAATATCTTGCCCGTGGTTTTCTGCCATCTTACAGGAAGCGGGGCTTGCGTTATTCCCATAGTTCATTACCCAAAGTTTGGCGGTAGGATGACTGTACCTTTCAATGGTAAATTGACTCCATCGGTAATAGCTAGGCTATAGCAGTAGCACCTGTGCTAATTGCTTTCTAGGTAGCGTCTCCCACTCCTCACATCAATGTCAGGAGGAAGATACTCTTAGCATCCCCTCTCCGCAACTTCCAGAGGCTAAGTAACACCTGCGTTTGCAGAGCCTGGCCAAATAAACCACCAGCCTGGCTCCAGTGCCCCAGTTCTCAAGCACGTTAGACGGTCTTTATGCCTAGTCAAGGAATTTGCTTTAGTTTGTTTCTTTTCACGTGAGCTGGTAGAGAAATGGCACTTTTAAGTCTTTCCCTTGGTCCCGGGCCCATTGCCCGTCGTTTCAACTTGGCGTATTTTCCACACGGCTGTGATTCCACACACGCTTCTGGGGTTGCTACCTTCGCTTACAAAGATAGGCTACATGCTGTTGATACGTTTGCATTCAACTGAGCTCCGTGTGCTGAGGAAACGTCATTTTAATGGGATGGGTGCTGTGAGAAATTCAAGTCGAGGGTTTTTAAATCATCTGGAGTGGTCTTGGAAGGGTGGCATAGGACAGTAAGGTAGATCATCTGCTTATTAGGATGTCCCGTCTCCCTTGGGTCCTAGCAAAGGTTCCTGTAAGTTTTCGGTGCATTTGTGACTGCTTCTAGGCCACAAACACCAGAGAAGAAGGTGTCTCGGCACCTGTGTCCACCATGGGCCAAGGGGAGGGAATTGTCAACACCTAAAATGACTTCCCACCCCAGGTATCCCTCTGTCCCCCCTTTCCTCAGGGTAACCAAGGAAAGAGTCCCCTGAAAACCCTTGGCTTTACTGTTTGTTTCTCTGATTATTTCCCTTAAGCATGTTAAAATTTGTGGCCTGAGGGAAGGTTCATTATTATGTTGTTAATAATTATGTTCTGGGAGCTTCCTAGGCATTATGTTAAAAAAAATTTTTAATGTGTATTTTTGAGAGAGACAGAGTACAAGCAGGGAAGGAATGGAGAGAGAAAGGGAGACACAGACTTTGAAGCAGGCTCCAGGCTTCAGGCTGTCAGCACAGAGCCTGACTCAGGGCTCAAACTCATGCACTGGAAGATCATGACCTTGAACCAAAGTCAGACACTTAGCCAATTGAGCCACCCAGGTGCCCTCTTTTTTTTTTTTTTAGTCTACATGACGATGCTCTGAGATAGGTTTCGAGTTGGCAAGTGGCCGACACAGTCCCAAAGCATCAGTCTCTGAATAAAACCCAACGTAATGCCCAAGTTCATGCTCGCTCTTCTATTGCTGGCTCCCTCGCTAGGCTCTGATCAATGTGACACCTTTCTGTTCTCTTCCTTGTAGAGTTACACTTGTCCCTCAAAACACTTGGTCTTAGATTTTCCTTCTCAGCATCCCTTCCCATGTGAGCTTGTGATTCTTTGAAGTAAGGATTTTGGTAGAATTTCAGTGCATTTCGTTCAGCAATCTGGCTCAACATTTGCTATTCGGACCCCATAGTGACAGACGAAAAGTTGGCGACTTCATCCAGAGTTGAAGGAGTTCTGTTACAAGATTCTGGGAAATTTAAATAAATGGCATTAAACGAGATTTTCCACCAATCTCTGATTTTAGGCCTTTACAGATCGAAAGGAAGCTTAAGGACACAGGAAAGCTTACATCCTGCGGGTAGCGCTGGCCCAGAAACGCCAGTGTAGACGGCACCCCCGAGGCCTGTGACTGGTGTGCCATCCGAAGACCTCATTTGAGTGTGTGCAACTATGCGATGCTGTGGCTAAACCTTTGAAATGTCAGAGCAGATGTTGGCAAGGAGATTAACACAGATCAACAACGTGTACGGGGAGAGAAGGTGTTCAGAAAGTTTATTCTGGACGTGAGAACTGTGTGGCCTAGCACCTGCTTACACGCTGTTTCCCACTTCTGAAGTCAAGGTCGTGTCCCAGTTCATGGAGACGGGTGATCATATGATCATAATTCTGTGGTTTATTGCAGGGAACTTGGAAGCCAAACCCTCCTCAGAAGCCTCTGCCTGCAGATCCTTTGAGTAAGACCTCCCGGTTCACCAGCCCCTCCGCCAGGGCCCTGGGGCAGCCGGAGTCTGGGCTCTGCCTGGTGCCGCTCAGGTTGGTGTAACAGCCGGGCCTCTTTCTCCCCACAACCGTGTGGGGCACCCACACCCCCGGTGCTTTCCGCCCCGTCAGGACATGGGTCTGATGGCGTAGGCCGGGCTGTCTCTACCTCTGGTACCTGGGAACAGCATAAAACCGATGCAAAGGTAGATAGGAGCGTTACCCGGAGGCCGTCATGAGCTTCTACTCCCCAGGATCCCCATGCGGCTTCTAGCAAGGGCCCCAGTGTCCCTAAGAGATTAAACCAAGATCAAGTGGAACCGGATAGGGACCAGGCAGTGTCCCCCAAAGGGATGCACATTAGTGGCTTCCAAGTGGCATGATCCCACGAAGGCTGAGCACGCCTCCAACGCAGTCTTCAACCCGCACAAACTCTGCCCGACCCCTGCGGTCCCGAGAAAGGAGGTGAGCTTGGAGGGGCCCAGGTGAATAAGGAGGGCGTGAGGCGTTAGCTCCCGAAGACCTGGTACCCAGGGGGAGCTTCTCCACACAGCTAACGAAACCCCAGCTGTGGCCGCCGCTCACCCTGTCCCAGAGGACGGGAAGGCAGCCTCCTGACCCAGGGGGGTTGAAGGGGCCGTGGGCCGGGGCAGACCCACACTGCTTTTTGAGAGCTAATCAATTTCCAGGAATTTTGCGAGCTGGGTGTTAAACCGAGCGCCTATTTAAATAGCTATGCATAACTTCTCATGATAGAAGTTAGATGAAAACAAATGTAATAAATGCTCACAATTTTTTTCTTACATTTTACTGTGCTCTGGAGGTTACGTGCAGCTGTTTCTGGACAGTGGAGACGCCATGCAGGGTGGCGACCAGGCAGCTCCTCCGTGCTCGTGGGAAGAGACAAAGGCTACACATGGGCCGCCTCCCCCCCCCCCCCCACCTCTTTCCCTGCAGTGGGTAGATCGAACCCACAGCCAAAACACTCCTTGGACATACACTGCCCCGCCTTGGCAGGAAGCTTGCTATATGAGCTCAAAAGAACCAAAGGTCGTGTGTTGGCCAGGCCCTGGGCTCAATAATTCAGTGTCTCGAAAGGGGAAGACGTTCGTGATGTCATTACCACTCTTGGGAAAAATGGTTGGCCTCAGAGAGCTGCCTAACAAATCCCAAAGATAACTCTGGTCAAAGGGGGTAGAACAGTGGTGTAATTCTCGAGGGCGGAAATACGGAAAGACTGCAGACCATCCTAGTTATTTGGCTGTGGTTTCGTGTGCTCATCTTGAAGTTACTTGCTCAAAAGGGAAAAGCACGGCTTTACGTGGACACGACGAGTGGAGGGCTCTCTTTGTAAAGGTCATCCGGCAGTGGCCCACCGTCACCTCTGCCAGTCGCTGAGCCCAGGGCAAGCCCATCTTGGTCTTGCTCTTGAAGGAGAAGAATGTCCTGCACATTCATCTGGGAGGGATCCCTCATGCCCGGCTTTGCTCCCTGGAAATGCACAGGCCAGTCAGGTCCCCACAGGCAGACACGGGATGGGGACGACTTCGTGCTGCGTCCCTTTTCATATGAAAATACTGCAACTGTGAATGTATGGAGTTAAATGAAATTCATTGCTAAAATTTGTTTCATCTACTTTTTTTTTTTTTTCTAGAGAGAGACAGCATGTGTGGGGGAGGGGCAGAGAGTGGGAGGGAGAGAGACAGAATCCCAAGTAGGCTCTGAGCTGTCCGCACAGAGCCTGATACAGCTCAGAGCCTAATGCGGGGCTCGAACTCACGAAACCCTGAGATCGTGACCTGAACCGAAACCGAGAAACAGACGCTTAACCGACTGAGCCACCCAGGCGCCCCGTTGTTTCACTTACTTTTTACTTGTTTCGTGTGATTACTGGAAAACTTTCCATTACCTATCTTGAACGCGCACTGTTCTAGAGTCTGCTTGCAGAGAGGAGGGATGGCTTCGGTGAGGGCTCCCCTAGGTGGCCAGCTGGCATAAACCACCAGCAACCCTGCAGCCCTGAGCAAGGTCCCGGATGGGACCTGCAGCCCTCTTGGGGGGGGAAGGGGTGGGGGGAGGTCTGCTCCCAAAGGCTCAGCGAAGGGCAGGAAAAGACACCCAACTGCAGACATCTGTACACCCACAAAGGCCATTTCCAAGGCCTCCACCCACCCTCTCGTTTCCTCTTCCCTCGCTGCAGACCCACTCCGAAACACCCACGTCAAGTGCCCAGACCTACCCACGCTGCCTACGCGAAGTGAGAAGCAAGTCGCCATCTTTTTTCAACAGTGAAGACAGAAGTTTGCACTATCTTTCAACTCCAGTTGGGAGTTCTGTGTTTTTGTACCAACTTTTAGAATTTTTTTTTTTTTTTAATGTTTAAAACACCATTATTTTGAGAACTTCGAGCTACTGCCGTCGGTGCTGTGCTGTGCTATGGTGCTCTGTATACTTGCTCAGGTACTTATAAATTATTAATTTATGCCAAATGCTTGTTACAGTGCAGTGCGCTGTGGGAGGCATTTTTACCATCACTGAGTTTTTTCCACGGAAGGAAGGCTTGTGTGCTTTCAGCAGTTTAGTGAACTTGAAATATCATGCTTTATGGGCTTCTGGACAGGAGGTTCACTTTCCGATCGAGGCTTTATCGAAGAACTGTTCCCCAGCCATGCGTGGCTGTGGTTATGGCACAGACACAGCCCAGGAGACCCCAGGTAGAATGAATGCTGAGTGATTCTCTGGAACCCCTGATCTCGAGCTAGAGCCAAGGGCTTCGAGTCCAGGCTGGGTGTGGCTGTCGGGGAGACCCTGGCCCCGCCCACCAGCGGCTACGCCTTGAACTTCCAGGAGAGCAGGGAAGGATCTGGCTTGGGGCCAGGAAGCTTGGAAGAGAACCCGAGTTGCAGGAAGGAATTTTAAGGTGTGGCCGCCCCAGGACAGAGCCTGGAACACAGGAGGCCAGGCAGAAACTTGACCGTGAGCTCACCAGCCGTGAGCACATTTGGAGAGCAGGCAAAGACGGTGGCTTTGCAGAAACACTGCCCTCCGCACAGTGCTGGCCTCCGCGTCTTATCTAGATGGGGAAAGGTGGCGTTTCTACAAGGAGGCTCCTGCCCAGGCCTGAATCTCTCCCTGTACGGTTTGGCGCTGAGCAAATTACCACCTTTTCTCAACCGTAATACAGTGATTCTGTGTTCAGACGGATGGATGAGGCTTTCCATGGGACCATAACTATTTTCAGCTGTGAACCAGTAACCTGTAGATAAAAATCTTTTATTGCAAGGTTCAAACTTATTAAAAATTGGGCAGACTCCGTATGCCTGCAAAAACTACAACCGAATGGATGCCATGAGGCAGCCTGCGTCCGCCGTTCGTCTAGGACAAAGAATCCTAAGTTACTCGTAAGTTATTTAGGGAGGCATCGTCTCCATACGATCCTGAAGCTCCATACGATCCTGAAGTTACTTAGGGAGGCATTCTATTTTCCCAGCTTGGCCGCAGGAATCTCGAAAAGATATTTTTAGTATAAACACTTGCAACCTACCTGTTGAGCGGCACAGAATGTGATGAGGAAATCAATTTCCTAATCCTAAATATTCATGAAATGCATTCTTGGGCCGCGTCCCCTTTAACCTTTTACTCTTCACATGTCTGACTGGGGAGCCATTTCTCCACACGATCTTGAAGCTGCCTGCGTCTAATGGCATGAACATGACAAAAATACTCAGACAAGGTAAAATGCCATTATGCCTCTGTCTTCTAGTGGGGTCATATGTGACTCGTTTTGACACTGGAAGGCAACTGACAACAGTTCTGTAATTCACTCTGAGTGTTTTGTGATGAAGACTTCAACTGGGGTCATTTCAACGGTTTTTCCAGGCCTTGAAGCAGAGAGACCAAATATACCAAGAATCAGTTTGCCTTCCAGAAAACAAGACTGCAGTGAACTCTCCCCGTGTTCCCCCACCGTATCTAGGCAACATGGTAATCACGATCGCGGATAAACTAAAGCCATGTCACAAACACAAAAGGGAGCCCAGCGCTAAAACATTCCAACTCCTACAGCATGCATCTGTATCATACAATTATTAATTTCTGAAAAAGGTAAAGCCATGTTAGAAAATGTTACTGCTGATGAGTACCTACAGAATTACGGGAACTGATATTACACTTAGTAATTGTATCAAGGCCAAACCCGATGCTAGTGAAAAGTTTACAGAATTTTTATGGTGCATTATGTGGGTATTGTCTTTACAGATGCCCAAACCCTTGGATCTGTCATTTTAGCCCCTCCTCCTATGGGAGGAAGAGGGTGTGAATTTTGTTTTTTGGGTTTTGTTGTTTTTTTTTTTTTGTCCTTAACTGTAAGTCCTGTGCTTCCATTTCAGAGAACCAGGAATAGCCTGGTATTAAAAAAGGTTAATGCTGTGATCTTACACAATGTCATCGATGGCCATTTAGGAGCTGCAGCTGATGACACATTTGTATCTCTATAGTAGTAATTGCTTTTATAGAGCCATACACGTTATTTCTGGATACTTGTTTAAACCTAACATCCCCTTACAATATACAGATATTATTAAAGGAACAGTATTCCCAAGATGCAGAATTATATTTAGCAATAACTTCCATTTTAATAGAACATAGGAAAAGAGCCAGGTATTTTGGGGATGGGGGAAAGATGAACCCCCCCCCTTTTTATAGCCTTATAGATGATGGCAACAAAAATCACTATTTCTATTTCAGTGCCAGTCTATTTTTTAATATGTTTTTAAAGTTTTATAGGCATGAATAAGAGTTGATTTGAGTTTATAAGGCTGTCACTGAGAAATTCAACGTGTCTAGACACGAAGTAGGCCCTGAGGGTGGTCACTTTTCTTCCCCTGTCTCATTATACGTGTAGTTCTCTGACCCCACTTACTGGAAAATAGATGGCTAATCTTCCAGGCATTCTGTTTAAGAGTTTATCTCCTGAGTTTTTTGGTAACAGTTTGTTTTCCTGACACATGGAATCAGATGGGTAGCAACCAAGAGAAACAATGCATAACATTTTCCATTGTCAAAATATGCATACGGAGGTTATACTTCCCAGTGTGAATTTTTCCAGCTTACACATGTGGGATGACGTCACAGAAACCACAAAAGCAACAAATTAAACTACATGAGAATAAATACTCCTGACTGGTCTCCGAGGGGACATTTTTATGCCTTCTTAACTTTAGTATGAGTTCTCAGGCTTGAACCCATAGGCCCTTGTTCTCTGGCAAATCAATACAACACATCAATGCATCCCCTAAAAGAAAAGCAGCTCATGCTCTGATCAGTGACAAGCTGTCCTTAGGAGCCTGTGATCCCCCCTGGTGCTGGGCCAGCTGAGAAGGCCCCGGCCCCCTCCTGCCGTCTCTCCGTTCATGTTTACTAAATTAGCATTCTGAGCCAATGAGACCCTGACAACGGAAAGGACGCGATACCTGGGCAGGAGGCCGCAGCCTTCTCGTGCAAGCTGACCCCTTCGCACACTTTCCTCGTGAGGCTGATTTCATGTAAAACTTGTGCTGGGGGGGCAGGGCTCCCTCTCCAGTGTTCTGGGAGCAGCCGGCCCAGGGCGGAGATCCCTCCTCACTGCTATCGGTAGGACCCCAGCTAACCACAAGTGACCCAGATAAACGTCATACCGACCCTCCCCAGAAGTCTCACGCAGCCAGCTGCTGACCCTCAGGCGTGATTCTCAAGCTGCAGACTTCATACATTATGGCTGGCGGGCGGGGGACAGTACAGGTACCATTGTTTCATGGCCCCCCGCCCCCCACCCCACGGAGGCCGGCCCTAGGCTGCCACAGTTCCTCCCCCCACGACTCAGGAGCAGGCCCGTGAACACATCTGGACACAAGGCAGAGGAGGCTACGCCATCTGTTTGCTTCTCATCACTTAGAGGCAAGCCTCTTTTCCAGAGGACCCTCCAAGGTGACAGATTGCTGTGGTCCTAGCTACTTTAGGTCGCCCAAAGCGGGGACCGGGACACTGTGTCACTACCCCCACGAGCCCAGCCTTCTCCAGAGTGTCAGCACGGCACAAGCCCACCAGCTATGCCCCCAGCTCTGAACCCAGCAAGAGTCCCCCTTCCAGGCAACATCGTGCCACAGAACATCCGTCTGTCTAGGATGGCACGATTCCCTGGGCACCCTCTCCAGTCCCTGTTGACCTCTGTCCCTTTAAAACCTACTTTGGAACCTCTGATAGCGATAGGAGTAACACTCTAAGAAAGAGTGGTAAGCCCCGGGCTAAGAACCAGTTCCGGGCACTGAGGATGCTTCCAGAAGCAATCTACCTCCACGTTGATGAAAATCCCCTCTTTACTCTTGGGACAGCAGCGACAGCAGCCAGTCCAGCCATAAGAGTGTTGCATGTGAGGAAAACCTAGGAGAAGAAACAGTGCGTATAGAATCGCGATAGCAGTCCATCGTGGGCAGTGACAGCCAGGAGATTTACCACACACTGAAAGGAATGCTCAGTGGATTCGGCTCTTTCAGGTTGAATATTCTGGAACCCACCCTGACCTTCCACATCATCTGCAAAAAAAACATGTCTTCTAGGCTCCCCCCTCCCCCCGCCCCCGTGGGTCTCCTTCCATAAAATAATTCAGTCCTCAGTTGAAGCACAGTTCAAATCCAGGCAAAATGATAAATACCTTGTGATCTTTTTAGTTTTACAAGGAAACCGAAAAACATCTATGTTCATGGCCTACAAGCAAGTACTTAAGTAGGGCAGTGATAGGGGAAAAAAAAAAAAAAAAGCATCAAATGAGAAAGACAGAAAACCCTCTAACAGTCCCAGCAGGACAAGCGATGGCAGAGCAGATTGTTCTCTGACCTTCTCTTAGGTCAGATTGGGAGGGTGTCAGGAAGGCCCGTGGCACACCGTTAAGTCCAAGTCTTTTTAACTCGTGGCTATAGGCTGTTCGGCACAGTACAAAGTTACCGCTTCTCAACAAACCAGTCCATTAATTTCATAGTGCTTCGTCCATTTATAATGCTTCGGTTTGCTAACTTTTTTCACATACCTTTTATGTTACAGTCTGTTACTTTTGTACACAGTTCTCATACTGGGGCTCTACAGGTGACAACCTGCTATTTCCGTAGAAAAAGTTCTTGTTAAGAATATTATATCCAATAAATGGTATACAGTAAACGTAAAGACGTGTCTCATTCGTTACTGACAACGTTGCAAAAATGGGGAAAGGGAAACCCTCGTGTGGAAAAACGTGACTAGGGGCACCTGCGTGGGTCAGCTGGGGGAGCGTCCAGCGTCAGGGTGGGTCCTGATCTCAAGGTTCGTGAGTTCGAGCCCCACATCGGGCTCACTGCTGTCGGTGCCGAAAATAAAGTTTAAAAAAATGTGTCTATAATCTCACCCACTTAAAGAGGCACAAGGAAATTCTGGAACAGTACATAAGACACTAAAATGAGTGGGCGGAGGGAGGGGGGGGTCAGGGGACAGGTGCTGCCAGTCTACACAAACCAGTCAGGTGATGGCACAAGAAAGGTGTCTTTAAACAGACACAGAGGGGAGGAGGACAGGACACTCGTTTTGAACAATGTCAAGTGTATAACCGAGCAAAATAATTTTTTCAAGTCACCTTATTTACAAAGGGGAGAAATTCAAAAACACAAGCATGCGGGGGTAGAAATGTGGACATCAGACTTACCCAGAAGGAAAACCTAAGTTTAATGGAAATTTATGAATTTTTGAAAAATAGAATCCAACTTCAAAAAGAACTGCAGAGGGGCGCCTGGGTGGCGCAGTCGGTGAAGCGTCCGACTTCAGCCAGGTCACGATCTCGCGGTCCGTGAGTTCGAGCCCCGCGTCGGGCTCCGGGCTGATGGCTCGGAGCCTGGAGCCTGTTTCCGATTCTGTGTCTCCCTCTCTCTCTGCCCCTCCCCCATTCATGCTCTGTCTCTCTCTGTCCCAAAAATAAATAATAAAAACGTTGAAAAAAAAAATTTTAAAAAAACAAAAAGAACTGCAGAAAATACAAAGAAAAATAGATCTAGAGAATGGTAACAAGGGGTCTCTCTTTCTTACCACCTTTCACCCACATCAAAGCCAGTAGGCAAAAAGTAAGTACCTGGAAGACCTCAGTTAATAATGTCATCAAACTGATATCAAATTGGGATACTTCAAACATACGGAATATGCCTTCTTTCAAAGTGCTTCTGGCAAACTAGGTACACAGAACCATACATAAAACTGTTATGTATACATTATATAATATTATATATTATGCTATATATATTAAATTTCATATATATATATATGTAAATATATATATAATTTTGTATGTTAAGCCACAAAATAAATTCCAAATGGCGGAACACAAGCCTTATGTTGCTTCTTTGGGAAAATTAAAACACAAGATAAGTCACTAATCTCATTAAAGAAAAAAAATAAGAAGCAAAGACACAAAGCACCAGCAAGAAGAATCCAGCAGTCCACTGCAATCTCCAGTGAGATTATTTTAAGAAGGATGGTTCCATCCTTTAAGATCTAATCAAGTCACCAAATCGACAGACTTCAGGGAAATACGCCTTATTAGGGTTACCAGAGACGCTGAAAAGACGTTTGAGGAGATTTAGTTTCTATTCCTGAATTTTTAAGAATCGGAGTAAGGCCAGAAACCATAGGGCTTGAGAGATGCGAATGTCATTTGTGGAAAATTAAACTCACAAGTGTACGACAGGATCCCGGAAGCAGTCATTTTCGGCTAAGTTACACTGGGATAAGAAACCACCCGTCAGTTTCAGTGACTTACCCCAAGGATTATTGCTTACGCACGGGTCACGCCCATCTCTGCGCCGGCTCTGCGCTCCTTGGGGCCCTGGGCTGATGGTGCAGCCTCCCTCGGAGTCACAGCTGGTCTCCTGGCAGAAGAGAGACGTGGAGATTCTTTAAACTTCTGCTCAGAGGGGCAGGAGCCATTTCCGTTAACATCTCATCGACCAAAGTCCCCCCATTATGTGGCCAAGGCTTCTGTGAGGAAGACGGGACGATGTTGCCAAGGTTTTCTCAGTAAGAAGGGATGCGTACTCTTGCCCCAGAGGGGGCTTGTGACTATGATGTACGGCAGACTGAGAAACGAAATGGAGATTGAATTTCAACACCGATCCCGGGGGCGAAACGCGGGGGCCTTGGGAGAGTTGTGACTCTGTGCTCTGATTTTTGAGAGAGATTTAAAAAGTTAATCCAGGGGCGCCTGGGTGGCTTTATCGGTTGAGCGTCTGACCCTTAATTTCGGCTCAAGTCATAATCCTGGGGTCGTGGGATCAAGTCCCTCATCAGGCTCTGCACAGAGCATGAAGCCTGTGAGATTCTCCCCCTCCCTTTCTCTCTCCCTCTCTCTCCCCAGCTCACGATTTCTCTAAAAAATAAAAAGTTAACCTGGCAAATTTAGAGGAATGTGCTTTCGTACAAAAGGTAAAACACTGATGAAGTATGTAAGGAGAGGGACGATCTATGACCCACGAATCCAATTCCTGAGGTGGATATTCTAGAAACTGTGTGGAATAAAGCTGAGCATTGCCAACATCAAGAAAACTGCGCTTTTTCTCTGTGCCCTTCCCCCCAAAGCTTTAGAGCTTTAATTACCTTTTCATCAGTGTTTCCTTACAGAGAAAATTCCACTCCTGGGCAGACCTTCGTAGCTGGCCTTCTCACGGGGCTGAGTTAACCCGCTTGTCCCCGGAACCACAAAACGCACGCGGTCCGCTAGCCCACTTGGCCCGCTTCGCGTGTGTGTCTGCCACATTCAAGCTCCCGCGCACGCGTGCCTAAGCTCCCAACCGGCACACCTACCTCTGGTTCATTCCTACTGGTCTCCCAACCTTCGTGATCGGCATCAAAAACCCTTCTGCTGCTCTGAAGGCGGAACGTTAAGACGCTTCTCTTCGGCAGAGGCGTCACTGTGCCAGCAGGCTGGGCCTTTCATTGTCAGGGCCGAAGTATATGCAAACACATTCTCAGACAGGTCTGTTCTAAAACAGACTGACCCTCCACCAAACACCTCTAATAGAGCGGAATTGGAGTCTTGAAATATGGATGTTGTGCTTTGATGTGAGGCCAACAGCTGAGGAGAAAGCTTTGCACGTGGCCTCCTGGGCTTTCGGGAGGAGCTGTCCCTCCAGGAGGGACCAGCCTGACCACGCAGCCTGGAAGGCCCGGAGTCGGGAGGGGAGGTCATAATTGAAAACACATGAGGGGAAGAATTTCCACAAGGTCCCGGAGCGGCTCAGAGGACAGCCTTGGGGGGGGGGGGGAGCGGAAAGTGGGAGATCCACGTATGTTTGTGCAGCTCCAGTGCATAAACATTTTGTTTCGTGTCTCACTCCAAAAGGCCCAAGTGCAAGAAAACATCCCCGTGCCGGAGACGCCCAGTGAGGACACCACAGGCCCGCGTGCGTAGGTAAAAAGATGTATTTCAAAGTGGGAAACAGTTGTACGTTACAAAAGTCACGGTGAACCTTCAACGAAAATAAAGAATCAAATAAAAAAACTCAAACCAATCAAAGAAATAAAATCAAGTAGTCAAACGTGGGACGTTGTTTCCCCGGGGCTGTCGGGCTACGTGGGGCCCGGCTCAGCAGACAGAGGGCTTCTTCGCCATTTGTTTTCTTTGCCTTTTTTCTAATAAGGAGACCACGTTCTAGAGAAACAAAAACAGATGAAGGTAATCCAAGGGTCCGGGGCTCTTTTATGTTAAAAGTACCACAAAATTAGCCTTGAAAATCACCAAGAGCATCCCAACCTGTCTGTCAAAAACTCTGGCCATTTCTAGGACACCTTTGCCGAACTGAAAGTGAAAACAACAAAGATTATACATATGCATGTGTGTGTGTGTGTGTGTATATATACGTATATACGTGTACATATATACGTATATATATATATATATATGTGCACGTATATACATATGTATATACGTATATAGGTATATATGCATATATATGTATATATTTCTCCTCCAGGGAAAGACTTTAGATAAAGAAGGAGTTATTTACCTCATTTTTTACACTTGCGTCTGCCCCTTTATCAAGAAGTAACTGGACTAACTCCTCGTGATTATTCAACACGGCCACCTGAGAAACAAAAGTCAGCGGGGTGTGAGAGAGGCCGCCCTCCCTGCGGAGGATGCGGCTGGCGGTCAGGGTGGACCCCGTGCAGGCGGGCCCGGAAAATCGGCCAGCCGATTTCTCCGGAAGGCAGAGCCAGCCAGGGCCACCGCGGCTTTGGGGCGAAGGTGAGCGCCAGGGACACGGAAGCAGAGTCTGCCTTTCTCCCCAAGAAGATGACACGAGAGAGAAATGCCAGGCGGGACCAGCACAGAAAGCAGCACGTCCTTTGCTTTAACAGATCTGTTGGGACCCTGCAAAGGCCCAGGGGGCTGGGGCTGGTAATCCTTAAGGAAAGAGTTGTAGGAAGACAACAAAACTACTGTAGTGACCTTGTCATGCCTTCACTACAGGCCGGTGGGGAATACATACAGGCAGCCAAGGCCCAGGGCTCGCGCACGGCCGAATTCACCAGAATCGGCTAATTACAGAAGCGGCTCTCCTCCCAATGGCGCACACAAAGCCGGGCTGTTTTCTGAAGGGTGGCATACCATTAGAGGGGTCTTTCCGTCTTTATCCTTCATGTTCACATCCGCTCCCGCTTCGATCAGCAGAGAGGCTACCCTCTGGTTTCCTGAGACCGCAGATACCCTCATGAGCGGGGTCCATCCCGAGCCCGTGTCCGCAGCGTCTACCTTTATGCCAGAGGAAGAGCTGCCCTGAGTCCAGTCTCTTTTCCCCAAAAGTATTCATCAGAAACTTACAAAGGAATGGTGACTGACCCAACCCCCCTGCCCCCGAGTTGGAGAGCTGGTGAGGACCGAGACACGGGGAGGAGCAAGGGGACCGTGCCCACAGACCGCACACTCACATGCAGTGAGGTGCTGTGTTCAGGCACCTGTACAGGGTGCGGGGAGGCCCCGGGACCTCACACTGGTATCTTCATCTACATTTCGTTCAAATGGTTGAAAGACGGAATAGAAAAAATGAAGCGCCCCTGGGGCGCCTGGGTGGCTCAGTCGGTGAAGCGTCAGACTTTTTGGCTCAGGTCATGATCTCACCGTGAGTTCGAGTCCCACACGGACCTCTGTGCGGATAGCTCCGAGCCTGGAGCCTGCTTCGGATTCTGTGTCTCCTTCTCTCTCTGCCCCTCCCCCACCCTCTCCCTCCCCCCCCCCCCAAAAAAAAAAATTAAAAAAAAAAAAAATGTGTGTGTGTGTGCACAGACACGCACAAACACCCCTAACTGTGTTACGGAAGGATTACACAAAGATGTTAGTAAAACACTAGAATGGAATAACATAACCAGAAACTGCCAGTAAGTCCTGGGAACGCTGCAGGTTATTTGTATGTATGAGATTATCCTCTGCAACATCATTAGGATTTGCACCTCTTTGTCATGCAAATAACAAATAACCTTGGAGCAACAGACTCCATTATGTTTAAATAATAAAATAATCGCCTTGTTTTACACTGTGCTTTATGCGGTCTTCCGGTGAACGTTGACCCACGTTTTCTCGTTTGGTTCTGAGGGTTAACTAGGGGTAGGCGCTTTTATTGATGCTTTACAAATGATGAAACCAAATCTCCGAGAAGTCAAACGCCTTTCCCGAGGTCACATGGCTCATTAAATGCGGAGATGGTTCCCCACACAAGTCAGCTGCTGTTGGTATAAAATCATCATATTCCAGAAGGGTGGCCCCAATGCCCTGCTTGGCTCCCAGATCCCTCCTGTAGCCAAGTCACCCAAACAATGGGTGACCCCTCTGGCAAAAACATGGAGGCACTCATGTTGACATCATCTACCCGCCCCCCCCGCCAGCCACGTAGAGATCTTCAGTGGACACATTCATGTAACTCCAGCGCTAAGGAAAGAAAATTTACCCCCAATAAAGTGTGCTCGTATCTGAAGCCCAGAAAGTCTATGTTTCCAAAACTACCGTATTTAAAGGATCATGGCGGAGACACGCCCTTCTTTCAGCAAAGGTCAACCTCCATTTTTAACTACAGACTTTTACTGGGACCAAAGCATGAGCAGAGTTCATCATAAACCAAACGAGGAGACTGAGGTTCTCACTACCACACAAGGCGGGTGGGACCCGGCCCTGCCACCGAGGCCCACAGGCTAATCCTTCTGACCTCTCGTGCAGCTTTCTAAAACAAAGATAACAAGAAACGTAATAAAAAGGAATTACCTTAACGACTGAAGTTTTTCCTTCAAGGGGCCCCTTCCTCAGGCCGCTGAAGGCATCAGCAGGGGCCAGTGAGACCCCACAATTAGGCCTGGGCTTCCCTCAAACACACTTCAGGGACAAGCTAGAACAAATCCGCCCACATCTTCCAAGAGACATGACTTTTCCCAGTTTGGGTTTATTTTCCAGGTCAACGGTTTCAGTTCTCAGTGCTCTCCGCCATCTGGCAATCTCAGTGAGGACAGCATTTTGTTTGCCACGATTCCTTACTTCCGGGCCTTGAAATTTTTATCTAACTTCTTTCCAGTCTTGCGCTAAAATTCTCAAAGTTATCAGCAATCACCATGATTGAGCTAATCCTTCTTCTTGACCTTCAAACAGCTACAGAAGTCCAAACAATGCCGATCCTATTTGCTAAACCAAATTTGTACTTTCTGATAACATGAAAATACCAGAAGGATACCCACCCGTCTGCTTCAAGGTAAAGGCCCTAGGAGATGAAATGCTCTGCTTGTGACATGATCCCTTTGCTCTCTGGAAGGGTTTTGTGATGAAGAATCTTTAAAGCAACCCAAGAATAAAGAGAGTCTAATTCCAAGGGCAACAAAGAGCCCTATGGCTGTGAGGGTTCTTGACATCCTGTGTCTACGGCACCTAAGAGAGTCTCCAGTACGTGGCAGGTGCTCAGTAAAGTTTTGCTGACAGACCGAGTGAACAGATAATGACCTAATGAACAAAGGAACAACCAAAATGGAAGCATGGTCAAGTCCAGCTCTGGATTCATCAGTTGTTTTGTTTTGTTTTTTCCTACACAAGACAAACCTCCATGACAATCTGAAGCTTCACTATCCTATCAAGTCTACGGTGATCTCTTTTCCCAAGGCTTCCGGAACCTTCTCACTGAGAAGTCGGAGAACTTTCTGCAGCATTTCTAAGTTGAACTAATCAAGGGCATCCACATAAGACTCTGCTTCTCCTCAACCCTGTGGAACAGAGTTTCAAGGTCTTAAGGACACAGGTGTAGTTGACAAGGAAGATCCCGTACCTCACAGCCATCTTTTATCATCCACTCGATCACGTTGCAGTGGCCTCCGTCCGCGGCCCAGTGTAGAGCCGTACAGCCTCCTAGGTCTCTGGTCTCCCAAGAAGCACCGTGTCTTCGGAGATATTTCACCACATCCAGGTGTCCCGCATAGCACGCAAGCATCAGACTGCAACATACAGAAGCAGCAGCATTAGCTGTAAGCGCAGTTGCCAAACTCAGGTCCACATCTCACCCTCCGCGGCTTAAACCAAGAAATCCTAACGTGAGTAGAAGAGCCCTGAAGGTTATTCGTGTGAAAGGCTGAAAAAGCCTTCAGACGTTGCACTAAATAAGTTGGACACAAAAGGCATATTTTATGATTCCATTTACGTGAAATGCCCAGAACAGGCAAACCCACAGGGATAGAACCGGAACATTAGCTGTTTCCAGGGGCTGGGGGAGAAGAAGTGGGGAGGGACTGCCAAGGAGTAGAGGGCTTCTTTCTGGGCTGATTGACAATGTTCTGGAATTATACAGTGGCAGGGGTTGCACAACTTTGTTAATACATTCTTTAAGTGCCGAATTTTAAAGGAGTGTGTGAATTATATTGCAATTACAAAAAAATAAAGTATCACTG